AATTTCAATTATTATATGAATTTATGGGGTTACTCACAGTGGTCATGAATGTCACTAAAGCAAAGATTGTTTAACATTTAACAATGTATACACCAGGATTTATTAGCATGTATATATACATAAGATGACAGCCTTTGAAGTTTCTTGTGGTTAATCATTGACAATAATTATGATTGCGTTTAAATCAAACAATGTAATGAATAACAAATTGAATATTTTGAACATTGCACATTACAAGGAAGTAAAAGGCAGACTGGTAAAAGGACAGTTTCATGACTATACATGTGCACTATTGTGTGCAATAATTTGCATTATTTTATTTGATTAACTATTTGCTGATATCATCTTACCCATGAATTATTTGAAGGTATTAAACAATAACCTGTATCTGGAATTTTTGTTTATATTATTTCTTAAAGAAAACAATCAAAATATCTGCATTTATGTTTGTTTTAATTCTGATTCAGTTAAAAGAATTATGATCTAGAAGATATGTGTGAATTTCAAGGAAACACCTTCAGCATTTAAACAAAGAACACTTTCAGTAGTTTACAATAAATCCTTTAAGTTGTTTAACAAAGCAAATTCGTTGAATTTTTATCCCCCGCCGAGTACTGGTTATTATTAACACAACAACTGAAGACATAAGGCTTTATTTATATATTAATCATGGCATAAACAGTAATATTCTTTGTACTTGATAAATATTTAGGGCAATAACAGGGCCATAACTTTGTGTTAAATAGTAAAATCTGGAAATGCCAATGAGATGTATGCATACTACATAACTAATCAAGGGCCATAAATCTGAGTTATAAGTATCTGACTGGAACAAGGCGACTATATGCATATCTCCTCTTAGTATCCCATAAAGTTTCATTGAATTCCAGCGAGTAGTAGCAGAGAAGTAGCGAGGAAACAAATATTTTTCTATATGGATACTGCATATCTAATTAAGGGCCATAACTCTGAGTTAAAGTGTCTGACAGGAACAAGCCGACGATATGCGCATCTCCTCTTGGTATTGAAGGTTCCCATAAAGTTTCGTTGAATTCCAGCCAGTAGTTGCAGAAAAGTAGTGCGGAAACGATTTTTACTCTATATGCATACTACATAACTAATCAAGGGCCATAACTCTGAGTTAAAGTGTCTGACCGGAACAAGCCGACGATATGCGCATCTCCTCTTGATATTGATGATTCCCATAAAGTTTCGTTGAATTCCAGCCAGTAGTTGCAGAGAACTACTCCGGAAACGATTTTTACTCCATATGCATATTGCATAACTAATCAAGGGCCATAACTCTGAGTTAAAGGGTCTGACCGGAACAAGCTGACGATATGCGCATCTCCTCTTGATATTGATGATTCCCATAAAGTTTCGTTGAATTCCAGCCAGTAGTTGCAGAGAACTACACCGGAAACGATTTTTACTCCATATGCATATTGCATAACTAATCAAGGGCCATAACTCTGAGTTAAAGTGTCTGACCGGAACAAGCCGACGATATGTGCATCTCCTCTTGATATTGATGATTCCCCTAAAGTTTCGTTGAATTCCAGCCAGTAGTTGCAGAGAACTACTCCGGAAACAAAATTTTACTCTATATGCATTTTACATAACTTATCAAGGGCCATAACTCTGAGTTAAAGGGTCTGACCGGAACAAGCTGACGATATGCGCATCTCCTCTTGATATTGATGATTCCCATAAAGTTTCGTTGAATTCAGCCAGTAGTTGCAGAGAACTACTCCGGAAACGAAATTCGGACGGACAGATTCCATCGGCGGGGGATAAAAATTGAACACAAGATGTTAAGATACAAAAGTTGCTTGCAAAATCTGTAATGCTACGGCAACATCCAAGCCATGGTGAGAAGGAAAGCCAACAATTAAACAATAAGCCAAGCTAGTAATGACATCATCTTTTGTAAATAACATTTATTTTACTCACTTTAATAGGATTTGCATCATCTTTTCCGCCACCTAATCTTTCTTGTGGATTTTTGCGTAATAACTGCAATAGAATTCATATCATTCCTGAACAATAATTTTGATAAAATGTCTACTTTTATGAAGTTACATATGAAATGGCATTGTACAGTACAAAAGACAATATTGTATTAAAGCTACAAATAAAGCAATTCATCTATTTTCCCCAAAGGTCAAAATTTCATCAAATCAACATTTCAAATTAATTTAAGAGTTAAAATTATTAACAAATTTCTACTTTCAGCTCTGTTAAATTTATATGCAAGAAGATTTTTTGTGCAAAAATTGAAAAATTGTAATTTTGCAAATTTAGCAAAATTTAATATGATATTTTCAAGGTCTGGTCAGACTGGAGCTTATCGGGATTTTACTGTAATTAAGTAAAAGCAGTTATGCTGAATGGCATAATAAGTTTTGTTAGATTTAAAGTTACATAAACACTGGTACAGTCATCTGGTGACTTTCCAGCTTTACTGGTCGAATAGGACGTTTGGTGCCTCAAAAGCATTATTTCAAACATCAGGACACCAAAGAACACCGTCCGTATGCTGGCCGAACAGCTTCCTCTCATGAAACAAAGCAAACTACACAACAGGATTCCAACCCACAGTAGTGAGGGGCAAATGATTTAAAGCTGAGACCTTAACCAAACAGTCACAAAACATTAAGAAATATTTCAACATAACTCTTGTTCTTTTCATCAAGTAAAATGAGGTTCAGAATACTGTACAATCAAAGTATTATAATTTCATTTAATACTTACCCTTTTAATTAGTCCCCGAGCTTCATTTGTTAAATATGGAGGTAAACTAAGCTTGGCTTTTAAAACCTGAAACATGTAATTATAAGATTGAGAAAGCGTAAATAAGAAATCTTATTGGTTCTTTTTTTTGTTGAATTTTATGTCGCACCAACATAGTAAATGTCATAACTATGACTTTTTTCCAGCCTAACTGATGGAGGAAGACCTCAGGAGCCTATCCATGTGTCTGGGCACCTGAGTAGAACCACCAATGTTCTGTAAGCTAGCTGGATAGCTTTCTCACATGATGACTCCAAGTCCCTGATGGAAATGGATCCCACAGCAGTGAAGGGCAAGTGGTTTGAAGTCTACGACCTTAATCACTCAGCCCAATTGTTTTTTTTATTTTTAAGCTAGACCCGTTTTATAGCAGACAAAACTAATTTATATGCCTACATCCCTGCAGGGGCAAGGGCAAGGACATTATTTGGGGACAGATAATGTCATGGGCTCCAAAAACTGTTGTTCAGCTGACTGGTGTCATAGACCTTTTGACGTTTCATTTATATATTTTCAAGTGTTCAAATACAATACTGACATCTATTCACACATATTAATGTTTTTTTGGTAGAAATGCTATCTTCCTCTGACATATAACCTATCTCAAAAGGGCAATAAATTGAAAGCTTTGAATATTTTTTCAACATACCTTATCTATAGTTTTCTTTCTATTTTCTCCAGTGAATGGTGGCTGAAAAAGAAAAAGCAACAAAAATTTCAAAACATTCTCCTTTAAATTTCCAGTGATAACTAGAACAAGAGGCTTATTTAGGCCTGTGGTAGGCACAAGTTTGCCTGTACTCTTGCCTACATGTGCACGTGATGGTCATAATACAGTATTTCAAGATTCATAGTTATACCTCAATTGGTTAAATGAAAAAAATGGAATGGTATAAAAAGGAGAGCCAAAAGTATGATGCTGAGAAGATGTCAACATAATGGTGAGTAGGATAGCTTATCTAATTCTTAGATTAGTTAACCTTTAAAACTAAAACTTACAGCTCCAGTCAACATGTCATACATTAGAGCACCTAAGCTCCACCAATCCACTGCTTTACCATGTCCCGTTCTGGTCAAAATTTCTGGTGCCCTAAAACAAAAGAAGGGAAACATGACAATTGCCCTAAATCAAAATAGGTAAACATTACAACAATTGTCCTAAAACAAAATTACATCTGCCCAAAAACAAAACAGGCAAGCCTTATAACAATCATACTAAAAGAAAATGGAATTCAGTTACGGATATTCGTTATCTATAATGACACCTTGTATTTCAATCAATATTCAATTAAGTGATCATATTTAAAACATTTTAGTGTGACTGTCACTAGAGGAATGAAGATGGCAGCTATAAAAAGCGGCCAAAAGAACTTGTAAATTAATGTACAAAATATTTTGAAGGATGCGATCTAAAATAACTTACATATATTCAATGGTCCCGCAAAATGTGTGAGTGACTGCGCCTTCATTGATGGATTCCTTACATAATCCAAAATCTGTCAGCTTTACATGACCTGAAAAAACATTCACACTGCAATATATTGCTTATACATGTACATGTATAGTATATACCTCTGTTCTATTGGTTAGGTGTACAGCCTTTAACTTCTTCGAGTTGTAAAGGTCAAAGAGTGAAAGTCAAGCCTTTTTGCTGGCACAAGATACACTTCTAAGGCATAGCTAACACTCTACACTACCAACTTCCTTGCTAAGTAATTTAAAGTCAGCAACATAAGCCACTTCAAGACAGATGCCTAACATGCATATTATATAAACATGTTAACTTGTATTCTTAGTGGGGTATTATTTTTGTTCACTAAGCATGAACTAATATTTATTTGGAGCAAGAAATGGTGCAAGCCACCCGACTAAACCAGGAATTTTACCACTATTATTGAATGTCCCAGACAGTCCCTTGAAACTCCTGTTCTAAGTATATTTACAACAATGGGTAGAAAGTAATGGAAACATTGAAAGGTAAAATATATCTCATGATTTTTCTTTATATTTGTATAACATTTTAAGAGAGGTGCAAATCAGCACTTATCCAAGATGTGTTTCAGAAATATTCCAAGGAAAGGCTGCTTAACTTACCCTGAAGGTCGAGTAATATATTTTCTGGTTTTAGATCTCTGTAAACTATACCAGCATGGTGTAAGTGCTCTATGGCTAAAGTTATTTCTGATAAGTAGAAACTGAAATTGTAAAATAAAACATTTTAGCAATAAAATAATAAAAATTCAATTAGAGACAACATTGTTAAAAGTATGTTATTGATAGTGAATTTAGAATTTTTTTTCCAATCATAACTGGAATGTGTTACAACAAATACCCAGAAATAGAAGAGTTACATAAACAAATGCATTTCCATTCTATAAATAGCATCAATATACAAACCTTAACAGAACAGCTTACAGTAGACATATTATCAAGTAAATGCGAACAAATACAGTAATAATTTAGAATGGATGACACTTTAAAACAACTTCAACAATCTTTGATGTGTCAAAACTATGTTTAAAAAAAATCTGATACTACAATAGGAATAATGTAGAAATATGATGATAAAAGTATTAAAATAAACCAATTATCCTTTAAAAGTCATCACTACACAGTCTCATTTTTTCCAAAACAGAATATGAAAACAAACATTCTAAATTCCCGTATTTATACAGAACATTAAGTTTTGTATATACATAGATCTGTCACAGGGTGAGAAAAATGTGCAGACTGACCGAGACTCAAACCGGGAATCCTCGGTATGCCAAACCACAGCTCTATTGACCAAGCTTACATACAAGCTCCCCTAATTAGTGAACAGTTCAGTACTGTGACAGTATCAACTTACCATGCTGTATCTTCCATGAAGATTCCTTCTCGTTCGAGCTGCATAAATAATTCCCCACCCGGCAGGTACTCTAGGATCAGGTATAATTTACCACCCGTTTGAAATGCATATATCAGATCTACTATGAATGGATGCTGCAAAAAAGGAGAAATAATATACATTACATTTATTTCTTAGTTTGTTTTACATTTTTCATAGCTATTTTCATGAACTTCATAGCTACTTTTTCTTATTTCATAACTATTTGTTTCACATTTTACCACAAAGCTATTTCCCTATATTTTATTTCTAAGCTATTTTCATGAATTGTGCAGCATTTTTTTACTATTTCATGTCATAATTTCATTGTACTTTATTTTATAGCTATTTTCTAGTGATTTATATAGAAACAATTGCACATTTTCCTTCTGTGAACCTGTAACTATTGTTTTAAAAATAAAATGCACCCAACTTTACAAGTGTAATGATAACTTTGACAAAAACGGCAAAAGCTCATGCAAATACCTTTACACATTCTAGAATATTTCTTTCTGCTTTAGTGTGAGCTGTGTCTTTGGCATTTCTAGCTATTGTGGCCTGCAATTGAAATAATGTATGATTTACGTACATAAGACATGAAAACAGGAAATAAATATGTCTTAACCATCCTGACAAAGTTTTTAATAAAGAAAAGGATAAGCAAAGGTTCATGGGTAAAATTTTTAATAAATAGAATGATAAGCAAAGGTTCATGGATAAAGATGGCTACCTTACAAAACAAGACTCTTCACAAGGGGTGTAGATATTCAACTGTGCATCTATATTTATTGTTACAAGTATGATTTCACATAACTGTAGAACCATACTCCAAAGTCTCCTTTTTTCTCAAATTATTGGAAGATATATTAATTAAATTATTGAATCAGTAAGTAAAGTTATAAGTCACACCTACCGAGTCAAGGGCATGTGACGACATTAAAACTATACTGATACAGAAAAGCATAGATATACATAGGCACATAACTTTATATACGTTTTGAACGTTCATAAATATATCTAGATAATAATAATTATGATAAATTTAGTTTGTAATTATCATAACAAGAGCCACCGCCGGGCGGGGGCAACGCTCGACTTTTTACTTTTTCTAAACGCAAACATAGAAAGGTTTGAACATATATTAACGTTTCCTTTTTATAAATTTAGTTTGTCTGTCTTGTCACATTAGTTTTCTTTATATATTTTGTATATATATGAATAGAAACATTAAGCATATTTCTAAAAATAGCAACAGTACGCAATTTCTTAAAATAGCAACATGACGCAATTTCTCAATATAGAAAAAATGACGCAATTTCTAAAAAATACAAAAAATGACATAATTTCTAAAAATAAAAAAGTGATGCAATTTCTAAAAATAGCAACAATGATGCAATTTCTAAAAATAGAAAAATTGACGCAATTTCTAAAAATAGAAAAAATGAAGCAATTTCTAAAAAAAAGAAAAAAATGACGCAATTTCTAGATATACTAAAATAGAAATTATGACGCAATATCTAAAAATAGAAATTATGACGCAATTTCTAAAAGTAGAAAAAATGACGCAATTTCTAAAAATAGCACCAATGACGCAATTTCTAAAAATAGAAATTATGACGCAATTTCTAAAAATAGAAATTATGACGCAATTCTAAAAAATGACGCAATTTCTAAAAATAGCACCAATGACGCAATTTCTAAAAATAGAAAAAAATGACGCAATTTCAAAAATAGAAATTATGACGCAATTTCTAAAAATAGAAAAAATGACGCAATTTCTAAAAATAGCACCAATGACGCAATTTCTAAAAAAATAGGAAAAAATGACGCAATTTCTAAAAATAGCACCAATGACGCAATTTCTAAAAATAGCACCAATGAGGCAATTTCTAAAAATAGCACCAATGACGCAATTTCTAAAAATAGCACCAATAACGCAATTTCTAAAAATAGAAAAAATGACGCAATTTCTAAAAATAGAAATTATGACGCAATTTCTAAAAATAGCACCAATGACGCAATTTCTAAAAATAGAAAAAATAACGCAATTTTCTAAAAATAGAAATTATGACGCAATTTCTAAAAATAGAAAAAATGACGCCAATTTCTAAAAATAGAAATTATGACGCAATTTCTAAAAATAGCACCAATGACGCAATTTCTAAAAATAGAAATTATGACGCAATTTCTAAAAATAGAAATTATGACGCAATTTCTAAAAATAGAAAAAATGACGCAATTTCTAAAAATAGAAATTATGACGCAATTTCTAGAAATAGAAATTATGACGCAATTTCTAAAAAATAGAAAAAATGACACACAATCTCTAAAATTAGAAACAATGACGCATTTTTCTAAAAATAGCAACAATGACGCAAATTCTAAAAATAGCACCAATGATGCAATTTCTAAAAACAGAAATTATGACGCAATTTCTAAAAATAGCAAAAATGATGCAATCTCTAAAAATACTAAAAATAGAAATTATGACGCAATTTCTAAAAATAGAAAAAATGACGCAATATCTAAAAAAAGAAAAAATGACACAATCTCTAAAATTAGAAACAATGACGCATTTTCTAACAAGGAACATCGCAATGCGATGCAACCAGGTTTTCAGCAAAATATTTCAAAGAAGCTTTGTCATGAAGGGGCATTTGTTTTGAATTGAACTTTTAGGAGGAATTATGGCTTTTTTAATATTCCTCAAACAAAAATGATTGAGAAATTTTATGTTGTCTATTCGCCTTTTTTTCCCAAATGTTTTAGAAAGGTAAACAGTACTTTATTTTTGCTTAATTTTTGCATTTTTGCGTCTCTTGTCATTTTCTTTTGTCAACAATATTGGCGTGTGGTGATTTGTGCGATATCAAGAAAAGTATGTTCACAATTTTAAAAAAATACTTGAATGATGTCTTGGAAGAAACATGGGAATTTAGTGAGCGCCAGGGCACTTGATGACAAAGCTTCTGTGAAAGTTTGGTCAAAATCCATTGAGAAATGTAGGAGAAGTTGCGCACTGTAGAAATTGTTTAGTATAAGGAAAAAATATATAAAAGGGCCATAATTCGGTCAAATATTATCCAATCACAAAAACCCCGACAATATGTGCCAGGCACTTTGAAAACAAAGCTTCTAAGAAAGTTTGGTCAAAATCCGTTGAGAAATGTAGGAGGAGTTGAGCACAGAAGAAATTGTTCTCTATATATTTTGTATAAGAAAAAATATACAAAGGGCCATAATTCGGTCAAATATTATCCAATCACAAAACCCCGACAATATGTGCCAGGCACTTGATAACAAAGCTTCTAAGAAAGTTTGGTCAAAATCCGTTGAGAAATGTAGGAGGAGTTGCGCACAGAAGAAATTGTTCACTATATATTTCTATATAAGGAAAAAAAACAAAGGGCCATAATTAGGTCAAATATTATACCAATTGCAAAACCCTGGCAATATGTATCAGGGCACTTGATGACAAAGCTTCTGAGAAAGTTTGGTCAAAATCCGTTGAGAAATGTAGGAGGAGTTGCGCACAGAAGAAATTGTTCACTATATATTTTATATAAGAAAAAAAACAAAGGGCCATAATTAGGTCAAATATTATCTAATCGCAAAACCCCGACAATATGCCGCCAGGGCACTTGATGACAAAGCTTCTGTGAAAGTTTGGTCAAAATCCGTTGAGAAATGTAGGAGGAGTTGCGCACAGAAGAAATTGTTACGCCCGCCCGCCCGCCCGCCCGTCCGCCCGCCCATCCGCCCGCCGACATACCTCAATCTAATAACCAGTTTTTTCCTTCGGAAAACCTGGTTAAAAAAATAGCAACAATGACGCAAATTCTAAAAATAGCAGCCAATGATGCAATTTCTAAAAACAGAAATTATGACGCAATTTCTTAAAAATAGCAAAAATGATGCAATCTCTAAAAATACTAAAAATAGAAATTATGACACAATTTCTAAAAAATAGAAAAAATGACGCAATATCTAAAAAAAGCACCAATGACGCAATTTCTAAAAATAGAAATTACTACGCAATTTATAAAAATAGAAATTATGACACAGTTTCTAAAAATAGCACCAATGATGCAATTTCTAAAAATAGAAATTATTGACGCAATTTCTAAAAATAGAAAAAATGATGCAATCTCTAAAAATACTAAAAATAGAAATTATGACGCAATTTCTAAAAATAGAAAAAATGACGCAAATATCTAAAAATAGCACCAATGACGCAATTTCTAAAATAGAAATTATGACGCAATTTCTAAAAATAGAAATTATGACACAATTTCTAAAAATAGAAAAAATGATTGCAATCTCTAAAAATACTAAAAATAGAAAATTATGACGCAATATCTAAAAATAGAAAAAAAGATGCAATTTCTAAAAATAGAAATTATGATGCAATTTCTAAAAATAGAAAAAATGATGCAATCTCTAAAAATAGAAACAATGACGCATTTCTATAAAAAAAAACCCAAAAAAAACAATGACCCAATTTCTCTAAATAGAAACAATGACGCAATTCTATGAATAGAAACAATGACGCAATTCTATAAATAGAAACAATGACACAATTTTAGTTATTGTTGTTGTTTGTTGTATAAAAATATATATATATAGACACACACACACCAATAAATATTTAAATATGGTCATTTACTGCACAAATCTGAGAAAATTCAGTAATTTAACCTTCAAGGTCAAGGTCATTTAAGAGCCCAAGCAAAGTTGGGTTTTGATAAACAACAAGGTCTGGTCCTTAAGAATGTTCTCTAATAATATGAGTTGATCCCTTCAATAATAGCAAAGTTACAGTCAGTGACCGCCAAAACAATGAAAATTTCAATAATTTGACCTTCAAAAGACAATGTCATTAATGTGTGAAGGTCAAGGTCTTCCGGTATATCTTTAACAGTAATCTTTGAAGATTATTTATGTTCAAGTTTCAGGGACAAATCCATTCAAAAATAACAAACTTACAGCCAATAAAAGCCAAAAAATGAAAAATTTCAATAATTTGACCTTCAAAGTCAAGGTCATTTATGAGTGAAGGTCAAGGTCTGGCTGGTTATTTTTAAGGGATATCCTTAAAAGATTATTATGTTCAAGTTTGAAGACAATCCATTCAAAAATAACAAAGTTACAGCCAATAACAGCATGAACAAGCAAAAATTGGACTTTTAACCTTGAAGGTCAAGGTCATTATGGTATGAGGTCAAGGTTAGTGTGGTCTACTGAAAGGTCTTGTCCCAAGGGTATGTGTTGGGCCAAGTATGAAAGACAAGTTACACAAAAAAATAAAAAAAGTTATGGGTCCCAGGTACAAGTTTCGGACGGCAACGGCAACGGCAACGGCAACGCCGACCTGACTGTAGCAATACCTCTATTTTTTTTTTCAAAAAAAAAAGTCGAGCTAAAAATGAAACAATAGGTGTATTCTATAATCATGGTACCTTTTTTTCAAAACCTTCATGGCAAATATTTCCCTTTCCCTTGTCCAGCGACTTTTCGCACTTGGAAAACCTGAAATACAGAAGACCAAGGAGATCAATGCTCAAGTTTATTTGTGTTTCTTTTCTGGCTTTTACACCAATTTTATCACATTTTTTTGGTCATACCTCACAGTCAATCACCTAAAAGGCATTCCTGGATTACGTACCAATAATGACCAATTCCTCAACAAGTGGCCAACTTCTATCAATTGCCTCTGAGAATCTTTAAGAGTTCTATACTTGTCCAGGAAAAAACGAATTCATACAATGTACTATGTAAATAACAAGATTATTAAATTGGGATCTTTGACGCTTTTTTATTCATTGACGCATTTTTATATGCGTAAGTCTTTATGTCCCATAGTTGCAATGCCCCGCAGGAACATGTAAGACTCATGAACTAAAATCTTTTCTTCAGGGTGAAAGATTTTTAAATGATAAAATTACAATTTAAGAATCTAAGACTTGATGCTAAAAAAATTTAAATGATGAAAGTAGCCTTTTAATTTATACAAGCAATGTTGGATCAGGTGGGTTACGATTCAAAAAGTAGCAATTGAGGTAATGAAGTGTTTCTTTTCCTGAATCAAACTCAGTCAAATGTGGGTGAAGTCACTCTTTAGCATAGATGTGACCAGCAACCCTTGCTACGCTTCACCCGGGTTTTTAATTATTTCTGAGGCAAAGATAGAAACAATACTTTGTAAGGTCAAAGGTTATTTTAATATAAAAGGGTGAAAAAAACCAAAAATTAAAAGCATTTGATCGATGATTGTTAAAACTAATAATAATAAAAAGCCCGGTTTGGGCCCGGTGGCTCCCGAATAGTTTTGGCACGGAAGTAAACCCCTTGTATTTTTAAATTATGGCCCTTTGGAAAAAATTTAAAGGCAATAAATTTAAAATTAGCAAGGAGGTTACTTTTTGCCTGCACTTCAATCAATGTGATTATAACCCAAAAGTTTTTTGATATATTTTATGATTTCCCGGTTATGTCCCGGGCAAATTCAAAAGTAAAAAGAATGCGAAGAACAAATTTCCCCCTTTTACATTTACTCACATTAAATTGGGAAATTTTTTTAAAGAAACTTGCAAAATGGGTAAAAGGAAGGTTAATTTTGGGAAAAAAACAACGGAAACCTTTTTTTCTTTAAGGCCCTGTGACATTGACCTTTGACACCTAATGACCCCTAAATCAATGAGGTCATCTAATTCTTTTGGCCAATAACTAGGTTGAAATATGAAAGACTTTGTGATTGAATACTTTTCCCAAGATAATCAGCGGAAACCCATTTTGACATTTAAAAGCCCCTGTGACCTTTGACCTTTTGACCTACGTGACCCCAAATCAATTTAGGGGTTATCTACTAGTTATGATAATCACTATGTGAAATATGAAGACTTTGTGATGAATACTTTTCAAGATAATCAGCGGAAAACATTTTGACATTTAAAGCCCCTGTGACCTTGACCTTTGACCTAGTGACCCCAAAAATCAATAGGGGTACATCTACTAGTTATGACCAATTCACTGTGTGAAATTGAGACTTTTTGTGATACATACTTTTAAAGATAATCAGCGGAAAAACCATTTTGACATTTAAGTCCCTGTGACCTTGACCTTTGACCTAGTGACCCCAAAATCAATAGGGTCATCTACTAGTGATACAATCACTGTGTGAAATATTGAAGACTTTGTTGACATACATTTTAAGATAATCAGCGGAAACCATTTTGACATTTAAGGTCCCTGTGACCTTGACCTTTGACCTATGACCCCAAAATCAATAGGGGTCATCTACTAGTGATGACCAATCACTGTTGAAATATGAAGACTTTGTGAACATTACTTTTTAAGATAATCACAGCGAAACCCATTATGACAATTTAAGGGTCCCTTTGACCTTGAACCTTTGACCTAGTGACCCCAAAATCAATAAGGGTCATCTACTTATGATGACCACTGGAACTGTTGAAATTGAAGACTTTGTGAACCATACTTTTAAGTAATTCAGCGGAAACCTTTTGACATTTAAGGTCCCTGTGACCTTGACCTTTGACCTGTGACCCCAAAAATCAATAGGCGGTCATCTACTAGTTGATGACCAACACTGTGTGAATATGAGACTTTGTGATACATACTTTTAAGATAAACGCGGAAAACCTTTGAATTTAAGGTCCCTGTGCGACCCTTTACTGTGACCCCCAAAACAATAGGGTTATCTACAGGTTTTGACCAAAAAACTATTAAAATTGAAAATTTGTGTAAAATTTTTCAA